GGTGCCCCTACACCCCCTGGACTATTGGGTGATTGATAGTGGCGCTACCTATAGCATGACACCTCGCCCGGACTTGCTCACCGAACTCGAGCCGTCACCGGTGAAGCATGTCACATCGGCTTTGGGGCAGCGAGCAGAGGTGAAAGGCATGGGCAAGGCCATGTTCAAGGGTGCTGATGGGAAGATGGTGGGCCTCAAGAACGTGCTTTGGGTGCCCAGCCTTGCTGCAAACCTGATTTCCGTGCGGCGGTTGGCAAAGGCCGGCATGGACACGAACTCGAAGGGAGCCAAGACCTACACCGCAAGGCTTGGCGATCGAATTCTTTGGGACCTTCATGAGGACAGGGATGTCTACAACGAGATGTGGCAGATCCCAGTGGTCCCTATGCCTAAGGAGAGGCAAGTGGCAGCAAGCATCAGCACCAAGGATGGAGCGGTCGGTAGCGACGATGGCGCGAACGGTCGCGCTAAGGAGAATGAGCTCAAGAAGAGCAAACCTGGAGGGACCAGCAAGTTCAGTGAACCTAAGGAGAGTGGTGCAGCAACCAAGGAGCAGCAAAAGGGTGAGGAGAACCCAGAGGCAGCAGCGGAGGAGGACTACGGAGAGAGTATGTGGGGCGCTATTGCGAGCGCGGCATTCTCCAATCCAACTTCGGCTACGGGGGAGTGTGATTGGCTCACCTTGCATCGGCGCATGGGGCATGTGGCCCTGCCCATCTTGCAGCAGCTAGTGAAGAATGAGATGGTTGCTGGCATACGTGTGAAGGGGGAGCCCGATGAGGTGCTTGGCTGCCCGACGTGCATTCAAGCCAAGTTCACCCGGTTTCCGTTCCCTAGTTCGGAGGCAACGGCAAAGGCACCGCTTGATGAGGTGGTGATGGACGTGGTGGGCCCCCTGAAGCTTGGAGCTGCTGGAGCTGAGTATTTTCTCACCATTGTCGACGTCTACACCCGCATGACTTGGGTGTACGTGCTGGCCAAGAAGAGCGACGTGGCTGAAACGTTGAAGACGGATTGGTTCCCGATGGTGGAGCGGCAACAAGACCGTCTAGTCAAGTCAATCCGCACCGATCGAGGGGGAGAGTTCCTGAGCAAGGAGTTTGGGTTGTGGCTGAAGAAGAATGGTATTCGGCACTCCCTCACCATGCCATACTCCCCTGCAATGAACGGCATCGCCGAGCGAGCGAACCGCACAATCACGGAGGCGGCACGCGGGTTGCTCATTGGAGCCGGGCTACCCGACTATTTCTGGCCTGATGCGGTGCGGAGCGCGTGTGTGGCCAAGAACAGAGCCTTGACTCATGTGGGAGCAGACAAATGGGTGCCCTATGTGGAGTGGCTAGGAAGGAAGCCAAAGGTGGATATGCTTCGGGTGTTCGGGTGCATGTGCATGGCGCTCGTGCCTAAGCATCTTCGGCACAACAAGCTTGGTGCCAAGGCGGTGTGGGCCGTGCACTTGGGCATGACTAAAAACAGCAAGGGATGGCTTCTTTGGGACCCATTCACCAAGAAGTTCTTGGTGAGCAGGGACTGCAAGTTCATGGAAAACTTCATGTACAAGGATTGGAAGGCGGAGAATGAGGCGAAGATAGGCGTGCGGTTTGGGGAGGTGAAGAGTTCCGGTTTGGAGCATGTGGAGCTGCCTTTGGAACTGAGCAGCGGCAGCACAACCACAAGGCAATCCTCCCTTGTGAATGGGGGAGAGGAGGCCAATGATGCAGAGGAAGAAGAGGAGGAGGTGCAGCAAGTGAGCGAGCGTGCACCGTCACTCCCTTCCCGTACTACGAGTGCTCCACGGATTCGAGCCACACCGCAGCAACGCCAAGGCCTTCAAGTCCCTGCAGCTGAGGAGGAAGGAAGGGGGAAGAGGAGAGTTCAACCCCCTAATAGGCTGACCTATGATGCGCCGGGAAAGCAGGGCAAGACAGCCCTGGCCGGAGCGGCAATGATGGTCGGAGACGACGAGGAGAGTGACTACGAGGAGTGTGCCTTCGCGTTCTTCTCTCCGGTGGAGATGCCGGGAGAACCAGCAACTCTCAAGGAGGCTTTGGAGAGTAGTGATGCTGAGGAGTGGAAGAAGGCCATGGAGAGTGAGCTGAAGAGCATCGAGGAGAATGACACGTTTGAATTGGTGGAGCTACCGGAGGGGCGTACGGCGATAACGTCCAAGTGGCTCTTCAAAATCAAGTCGGATGCCGACGGCAAGATCGAGCGCTACAAGTCTAGGCTTGTAGCCAAGGGGTACCAGCAGAAGGAGAAGGTGGACTTCAAGGAGCTGTTTGCCCCTGTGGTGAAGCCGACGACGCTGCGAACCCTATTCGCGGGAGCCGCCATCAAAGGATGGGTAGTAAAACAAATGGACATCGTAACGGCATTCCTTAACGGCATCCTTGAGGAGGAGATTTTTATGGCGCAGCCAGAGGGGTTTGATGATGGTAGTGGCAGAGTGTGGAAGCTGAAGAAGGCCCTCTATGGGCTGAAGCAGGCCCCTAGGCAATGGTACATGAAGCTGCGCGAAGTGTTGGAGGGGATCGGCTTCACTCCCTCAACGGCCGATCACTCCTTGTTCATGCTTGGCGAGGGGGAGCAGAGGAGTTTCATGGTGGTTTATGTGGATGACATCCTCATTTTCTCACCCTCTTCTGACCTTGTGAAGGAGGTGATGCTGAAGCTTCAAGACAAGTTCAAGTGCAAGGCCCTTGGTGACGTGAGCTTCTACCTTGGGCTCCACATCGAACGAGATGTGGAGAAGCGGTGCATGCGGGTGCATCAACGAAAGTACCTGGAGGCATTGGCTGCCAAATTTGGGCAGAGTGAAGGCCATGTGGCTACACCCTTTCCCTCTGGGTTCAAGTGTGTGAAAGGACCAGAGGAGGAGAGCGTTGGTGAAGAGGAGAGGCGCCGATTTCACTCGTTGGTGGGCAGCCTCATGTATGCGGCGGTAAACACCCGACCGGACGTCGCGTTTGCTACCGGGCAGCTGGCTAGGGTTGTGCAATGCCCTAATGAGGAGCAGGTAGCAGCTGGAATGAGGGTGGCCAAGTATCTTGGCCAAACACCGACCGTTGGGCTGCAATACTCGGCGGCGGCACAAAGGCGCCAAAAGGGCGCGGATGGTGTTGAACCCGGGCGTTTGTTCCTCACCGCCTACTCGGATGCTTCATATGCATCAGAACCAGAGGACATGACAAGTGTGGGAGGCTTCATATGCTGTGTTGGTGGAGGCCCAACTGCTTGGGAGAGCAAGAAGCAGGTTGACCAAGCTTTGAGCTCGGTGGAGTCCGAGTACATGGCACTCTTCCGTGCCGTACGGGAGATTGTGTGGCAGCGGCGTTTGTTCGCTGAATTGGGGGAGGAGCAGCAAGGACCTACCCCACTGTACTGTGACAGCCAGGGTGCCATTGCTCTTGCTAAGAACCCTGTGTTGCATGGACTCACGAAGCACATGAGAGTGAAGTGGCATTGGACGAGGAGCATGGTAACCGCGGGTGAAGTTGAGTTGCGCTACGTGAAGACCACGGGGCAGCCGGCTGACATGATGACCAAGAGGCTGGTGGAGCAGCAGCATTGGAAGTGTTGCAAGCTGGCTGGGATGGCTCTGAACTGAGAGAGCAACATATCCTAAGGCCAACAATCCGAGGGGGAGTTTGTTGGTGCAACCCTACGGTTTGCATTCGGCTTGTTGTCCGTGTGCGTGAATGTGTGTGTGTATGGAATGGTATGAGGGCATGGGATAATATATATTTCATGCTTATAATTGTGTGTGAATGTTGAGTCATGATGTCGAGTGTGTGTGTCGAGTCAATAGCGAGTTATCGCTAGACGCGTGTTACGCGGTCGTTTGTGTCTCGCGCGCGGTTTCTATTTTGTCGTGCGCGGTTTCTATTTTGTCCTGTGTCGAACGTTCGGCGTGTCGCAGGTGTGTGCAGCAGACCCATCAAGAACTCAAGGATGAGTTTGTGATGAAGAGCCCGAGCCTTGGTGTCAAGCCTCAAGTGATTTCGAAGCTTGTCAAAAGGGTACACCTCAAGATATTGAAGATAGTTACATTACTTTGTGTAGTGTAACATTTCACTTGGTGTAGGCCCTAGTGAAGGGTAGTTTCGAGACCCTTCGTGGTTGGGGACAGTGTGGCACTGTTCCACATCACTGTACCTCGGCTCTTGGGGTTTGTAGGAGCTGGGAGTCATTCCCAACTCGTAACTCTTCCTATCTTGTGTTCTAAGACTATAGTGGCTGCCATAGTACCGTTCGTTCAAACCGACGCTGTGTCGTCAATTCTTTATCAAATCGTGCAATCTAAATTGCTAATTGTAGACGACGTGAAGACGCTCCAGATCCAATTTGAATCAGGTCATTTGCAGCTGTGAGCAGAACGCTATCAACGTTTGAAGCCGCTGTGCAGAAATCCGTCTGTGCTCTCTATCTTTCGTTTTAGGCACATTCAAGCCTATTGTGACTATAACAGTGTGCTGTGTGTGCTGTGCGACATGTGTGGTAACAGGTGGCGAGTTCACGTCGCCCAATCAGGAGAGGTTCCACCACTTCAAGGTGCGCGCTGCTGCTGTGCTGCGCTGGACCCACGTGCATGCATCCTAGGACTCAATTCACGACACACCAGTGATGCATCTCGTCTTGTGCCTTGCTAGAGTCAACATATTTGCCACTCCACGTCCCTGCTCTGTGTGCCCTGATGTGTGCCCTGCTGTGCGCCCTGCTGTGTGTGCCACCCATGACCACAGGACCTATGGCGGTTGGATCTGAACAGCAACGAGTGGGAGCAGCTGAACCTCAAGGGCGCCCCCTCGCCCCGCTCCGGCCACCGCATGGTGAGGCCACCGCATGGTGAGGCCACCGCATGGTGAGGCCACCGCATGGTGAGGCCAGCGCATGGTGAGGCCAGCGCATGGTGAGGCCAGCGCATGGTGAGGCGCTACCTTCCCTGTCGAATTGAAGGCAGCACTTTTCATGCACCAAAGGGCTTGCATCTCATCCAGATCTCCAATACTTGCAGCCAACTTTTCTCTCATGTTGGAGCATCTGGAACAAAGAATCTCCCGTTTCATTTCAGCCCTACACTTGACTTATCCAACTGAACCCCCATCCCATTCCCCTATCTCGTTGCGTTGGAGGGCAGGTGCTGTACAAGCAGAAAATACTGCTGTTTGGAGGGTTCTATGACAACCTTAGGGATGTGCGGTGAGTCCCGGGCAACCTCAGCAAGGTGTGCTGTGATGAGATGAGATGCAAAGCCGGGGGTTATTAGGCGAGGACACGCCCACACTCACTCTCGCGCTGCTTTAGCGTTATGTGGCTGAGGCCATGGCACAAGGAGCAGCACTTAATCCGAGCACCTTCCAAGACCCGAGAAGCACCACTGCCTTCACTGCCTTGAGCTCACTCCATCACCCCTCATCCACAGTTGCCACCGTCCACGAGCCCAGCGCTGCAAAGCGATCCGTTGTGCATGCGTGCGTGCGTGCGGCACTGGAAGCAGCCATGTGCCTCACGCGCCTTGCCTCTTGTGTCGTTCTCCTTCCCCCCTCCACCTCCCCATGCCACCCCCCTTGCAGCTACTTCAACGACCTGCATGTGTTGGACCTCAACGACATGAAGGCACGTGCCCTTGCACCCTTGGCCCCTGCTGCTCCTTCAACTCGTGTAGCCATTGCTTGCTGTCACAGGGCCACTGCACTGCTTGCACCATTCATGTCATTCTGATAACACCAGGTGCTCTCTCTGTCCTAGTCTCTACGCTCTACTAGGATCCACAACACTGAGCCGCTCTCTTTGCTTCGCATTCGTGACTCAAGCTTGTTGGTTGAGGCTGATCAGTATGCCTGATTTCACCCCCCTCCATGCTGCCACCGTCTCTCCCCTCCTTGCCCCCCCACCTCCGTGGGCCATGCGCCTGTCGCAGTGGTGCGAGGTGAAACCCAAGCCGGGGGCGGCGTGGCCCTCCCCCCGCAGTGCCTTCCAGTTCGCCGCCCACCAGGACGAGGTCAGCCACCCCCTGCCTGCCATGCAATGCGCCTGCTCTGCTGCACAATCAAAGCGCACAGTTTGCTCGTCATTCCTGTGCGCGCATGCCACTGCCTAGTGCCTCACATGCGTGTGCAACGCTGGGAGCTGATGGTGCCGTGACATGGCGCAGGTGTATGTGTACGGGGGCTACTTCAAGGATCACGCCAAGGACGCGGATGGCAAGGACAAGGGCGTCGTGCTCTCCGACCTCTGGCTGCTCGACCCGCGCTCCTTCGAGTGGAACAAGGTGCGTTGCTCCTTCGAGTGGAACAAGGTGCGTTGCTCCTTCGAGTGGAACAAGGTGCGTTGCTCCTTCGAGTGGAACAAGGTGCGTTGCTCCAGTGGTGCACCGTCCATCGTGCCAAACAGATTCTGAGAAAAAGACCCTGGAATGTTTACGCATCATCTGCTGTGTGAGTGCTGTCAAGAGGCCTTGCAACGACCCTCTCATGCGCCTCACTCTGCCTCCTCACCTTGTCCCCCTGCGTGCAGGTAAAGCGGCTGGGGTCGCCACCGAGTGCGAGGGCGGGCTTCTCCCTGGCGGTGCACCGCAGCCGTGCCATTCTCTTTGGGGGCGTCATGGACCGCGAGGAGAAAGGTAAGCTCGCCCCCCCGCCCTTGCCATTCCCCCCCCCGCCCTTGCCATCCCCCCCCCCACACTTGCCATTCCCCCCCCGCCCTTGCCATCCCCCCCCCCCCGCCTTGCCATCCCCCCCCCCACCCTTGCCATTCCCCCCCCGCCCTTGCCATTCCTCCCCCCGCCCTTGCCATTCCCCCCCCCGCCCTTGCCATTCCCCCCCCCTCGCCCTTGCCATTCCCCCCACGCCCTTGCCATTCCCCCCCCGCCCTTGCCATTCCCCCCCCGCCCTTGCCATTCCTCCCCCCGCCCTTGCCATTCCCCCCCCCGCCCTTGCCATTCCCCCCCCCCTCGCCCTTGCCATTCCCCCCACGCCCTTGCCATTCCCCCCCCGCCCTTGCCATTCCCCCCCCGCCCTTGCCATTCCCCCCCCGCCCTTGCCATTCCCCCCCCGCCCTTGCCATCTTCTCCCCGCCGATGCCCCCTCCCCCCCGCCCTTGCCCTCTCCCCTCTGCTCACTCTCATTCGGCCACCTTCCCTCGGTTCACGTCTCCTCTGCCAAACCTCCCACAACACCATTTCTTGTTGCTCTTACACCTGCTGCTACCCCTCCTCCTCCTCCTCCGGTCCTCCCACCCGGCCCCCCATGGTGCAGGCGGCGATGTGCTGCGCAGCACGTGTCTGGGCGACATGGTTGCCTTCCACATGCACTCGCGCCGCTGCTTCCCCCTCCTCCTGCGCTCCCAGCAACAGGCCCGGGCGGCTGCCAGGAAGGCAGAGGTGAGCCAGCAGAGAGGGAGGCAGAAGAGATAGTGGAAGGAGGGAGGCAGTCCACCCCTCCACTTGTATTTGCCCCCCTCCACCACATTTGCCCCTGTCGACCCCCTCTCTCCACTTCTCCACCCCTCGTTTCCCCTCTCCACCCCTCTTTTCCCCTCTCCACCCCTCTTTTCCCCTCTCCACCCCTCTTTTCCCCTCTCCATCCCTCCTTTCCCCTTTCCACCCGCCTTTGCCCCTTCCTACCCCTATTTGCCCCTCGAACCCCTGTCGGCCAGCCAAATGCAGGCAGTGCAGCAACGAGCGGCACACAGGCAGATGGGGAGGAGGTGGAGGGCGAGAGTGACGAGGAGACGGAGGGGAGGAAGAGCAGGCAGGCAGGCAATGATGGTGAGAGCGAGGAGGAGGAGGAGGAGGTGACTGGGCGAAGGAAACAGAGACTGAAGCGGAAGGAGAGGAAGGGGGCCAAGTCGAAAGCAGCAGCTGCTGCAGCTGCAGCAGCAGGGGCGCAGGTGGAGTACGATGGAGGCGAGGAGGAGTGGGAGGGGTGGGAGGAGGAGGAGGAGGAGGAGGCGGGGGATGGCAGTGGGGGTGCGAGGGGGGGCGAGCAGGCGATTGGCGGCACTGCAGCAGAGGGGAGTGCAGCACTGGGCGTGGAGGGAGGGGCAGGCAGCGGGGATTGCGAGATGGGTGAGGCGGGAGGGGTGGACGTGAGCAGGCAGGGGGCGGCAGAGGCAGAGGGGAGGGGCAGTGAGGGCGGAGAATTAGCAGCAGGGAGGGCAAGGGAAGGGAGTGGCGGTGAGGTGGAGGGCGGGTTGCAGAGACTGAGCCTTGAGAGTGGCAGCGAGGTCGGCGGTGTGGGCGATGAGGGCAGGCAGGAGGATGCTGAGGGTAGCCAAGCGAAAGGGGCAGATGAGGCAGGGGGGGATGAGACAGGGGGAGGCGGAGAGGCAGCAGGGGAAGGGAAGGAGAGGAAGGAGGGGGAGGGGGGCGGGAAGGGGGAGCGAGGGGAGGCGCCGTGCAGCCGCATGAATGCGGGGCTGGCGGTGGGTGGCAACACGCTGTACCTGTGGGGGGGTGCCAAGGAGGTGGGCGACCGCGAGGTGACTCTGGACGACCTCTTCAGCCTCAACCTCTCCAAGCTCGACCACTGGACGTGCCTTCACAAGGTGAGTGGCAGCACCACCCCAACCCTAAAGGCCAATATTCCGTTCATTTCCCTGTAGCTGGTGCTGCGAGCTGCAATACTTGTGCTGCTCTCACTGCTACCTGCGCTACGACAAGGCTGGGAGGGGAAGGGGACATTCACAGCTCGTGGTCATGATCATGCTGCCTTGCTCACTTTTCATGTGATTCATGTTCTTTGGGCCTGTTCTGCATGCTGCTTGCTGCGCGCCGTGTCACAATTACCGCCTGCATGTGTGTGTTAACATCAAGTGCAGGGGTCAGAGAGCACATGGGTGGAGGTGGCGGAGGAGGAGGAGGACGATGAGGAGGAGAGCGGCCATGAGGAGAGTGGGGAGGAAGAGGAGGACGAGGATGAGTCGAGCGACGATGAGACTTCAGCCAAGGTGTGCCCTCCTCATTTGTCTGCTGAATGCTGCCAAGGTATGACCGTCCCTAGAACTCATGGCTGGAGTTTCAGCCAAATGCACGTCCAGCTTCCTCCTGTTGGTCGCACCTTTACCAAGTCTGCATGCGCCGCCCTCCCCACCATCCAACCGCCAGGCCACGGGCGGCGCCGCCACGGCGTCGGAGCTGGCAGCGGCGCTTCTGAGGGGCGAGGCTCCTGCGGGCGGCAAGCGCCAGCTGTCGCGCAAGGAGAGGCGGGCGGAGATTGACCGGATTCGCGCGGATCTGGGGCTTGCAGACACGGCGAGGACGCCCATTGTGAGTCGCGAGTCACAGGACTCCATGTATGCACCTTGCACCACCTCCATTCTGTGTTGCCGGACATTTGTCTTGTCACTCAGTTGAGTTACCAAGTGCCCCTCCCGGTGTGTGTGTGTGTGTGTGTGTGTGTGTGTGTGTGTGCGTGTGTGTGTGTGTGTGTGTGTGTGCGTGTGTGTGCGTGTGTGCATGTGTGTGTGTGTGCGCGCGCGCGTGCGCGCGCGTGTGTGTGGGCATGTGTGGCTGGCAGCCTGGCGAGTCGCTGAGGGACTTCTTTGCCCGCACGGGCGAGCACTGGCAGCGCGAGGCGTACCAACACACCCAGCGCACCGGCAAGATGCGTCATGGCATGTTCGGCTCATTGCTGTTTGCTGGGTATGGGGTGGACAGGGCTCGTGAACGAGGCGGTTGCATGTTGAAGCGGAAACGAGTGTGTGTGGTGCCAGCCACCCAAATCCCGTCTTCCATGCTCTGATACGCCAGTCAGTGCCTGCACTTTGCCTGCCCCGGAGCACACGAGGTGCACCCCATGGGGTTGATTGCGTTCCTCATCCTCCTGCCCCTCCCCCCCTCCGTGCCCCAGGAGCTGTGCAAGGATGGCTTTGAGCTCTGTGAGGCGCGCTACCGCGACCTGCTGCCCGTCCTCACTGAGGTCTGTTCCTCGCCCCTCCTCCCATGTCATGGTTTAATGAATCCTGCCAGTACTGCCGTTGTAATACACTCCATTCTGTGTACACGCGTGAATCTGATTTCGTCCGTATTTACTTGCCTTGCAGCTTGAGAAGCTGGAGGCCGAGCAGAAGGCGGAAGAGGAGGCAGAAGCGGCGTCCAACAAGAGCAAGGGGAAGAAGGAGAAGGGCAGGCCGGCAGCACGCAGATGACATGCCGTGTACGAGAGATGTGTAGGTGCTTCAAACCGTCAAGAAGTAAAATCTTCTGTATCATTGCTTCTGCGTGCAACAAGCTGGGACGACTAGTGTACGGCTTGATGCCAAGTTGAATAGAAGAAAACAGTATTACATGACAAGTGGCAAGTGTTGCGTTGAGCTCTTCAAGTGAGGAAAGCATGGTATGGCATATGCCATTAGTCACCATCCAAAGAAGCCTGATGCACACTCCCATGCAGCAGGACAATAAGAACTGGACTGAAACGGAGATATGGTACAGGCGGGGTCCCTGATGGAGGAGCAGGCATCAGGAGCAACACGCCCCCCACGTCCGTGAGCGAGTGGTGTACGCCCCTGAGGCCATGGCGTGCAGCACGGCTGGCGATGGGACGGCATAGAGCGGCAGCACATGGCGACTGAGGCAGCACAGGTGCAGCACATTGCGGCAGGCGCCCTGGCTGAACGGATGGACGTCCCCGGGTACCGACCTGCAGTGTGGTGCAGCAGGCAGCGATGGACGGGGAGTGCGCACTCGGTGATGCGTCGGCGGACAGGAATGTGCCTGGCATGTCGCACGTCAATGCAGGTGCCTGGCATGTGAACGCATGTGCCTGGGACGTGAAGGTATGTGCATGGTATGTCAATGCATGTGACTGGTATGTCAATGCATGTGCCTGGTATGTCAATGCATGTGCCTGGCATGTCAACGCATGTGCCCGGCACGTCAAGGCATGTGCCTGGCATGACAATGCAAGTGCCCGGCATGTCAATGAATGTGCCTGGCATGCACAACGCACCGCAGATAGGAGATGCGATGCTTCCTGGTGGCTTCATATGTTGTCTGTGCCGTGAGAATGAGGTGCCTGCATGGCAAAGCACGGCATGGCATGGCGTAACATGACATCGCATGGCATAGCATGGCAAGACACGCAGTCAGCCACAGAGAGGGGAGAGTCGTATAGACATGAGACATGCAGATCAAGTCTCACGAGTGGCAGAGTGAGTCACGAGTGGATGGCAGAGGGACTGACGTGTGGCAGAGGGACTCACGTGTGGCAGAGTGACTTGACTCACGTGTGGAAGCACACGAGGATGGCGAGGAACACGGCGAGCGGCAGCAGCAGCGCCGTGAACGCCAGCGCTGACAGCTGGTGCTCCAGCCTGGTGGCCGGTGGGGAGGGGGTGGACAGTGGAGGGGGACATGGAAGGATGGTGCAGGGATGGCGATGGGGGAGGGCACATGGAAGCAGGGGATGAGAGGTGGGTGGCATGCTGTGGATGGGGCAAGGCGGGTGTGAGGGGAGGTGAGGCAGGGATGGGGCAAGGAGGGACGGACCAGTGGTTGGGTGAGACGGGGGCGGTGAAGGCGGAGAGGCAGATGATGAGCGACCACCACGTGAGGCAGCACTCCAACACCAGGTACACCCTGCTCCACCCCACCATGCCGTGCCACACCGCACCAGGGGTTGGTAAGAGGAGGAGGGGAGGAAGGGGGTGGAGGAGGGAACACGTGTGGAGCAAGTGGTTGTGGTGAAAGATGAAGCGGCTGAGTTCTGTTAAGTGCGGGGCAGCTGTCAAAGCAAGATAGGTTCACCTCATACACATCTGAAACAAGCATGCTTAGCAGAAGCGGGCGTGGTTACCAGAAGCGGGCGTGGTTACCAGAAGCGGGCGTGGTTACCAGAAGCGGGCGTGGTTACCAGAAGCAGGCGTGGTTACCAGAAGCGGGCGTGGTTACCAGAAGCGGGCGTGGTTACCAGAAGCGGGCGTGGTTACCAGAAGCGGGCATGGTTACCAGAAGCGGGCGTGGTTACCAGAAGCGGGCGTGGTTACCAGAAGCGGGCGTGGTTACCAGAAGCGGGCGTGGTTGCGCAGGCCGATGCAGGTGGAGACCCAGAAGCAGTGGTGGTCGAAGCGCAGCACACAGCGGCCGCAGTCGTAGCAGTGCTTGGCGCGCACCGGCTGCTGCACCCGGCAGTACGGGCACCACCGCCGCGCACTGCTGGGATTAAGAAGGGGGGGGTGGGGAAATGGAGGGGGGAATTTGAGGTAGCACTACCATCGGCAGGAAAGAGAGCGGGAAGCTATTGCAGGAAGATGGGGGGTTGCAAGAGATGCAGCGCAGGAGGCAAGAGAGAGGGGACGTGGTGTGCGTGAGAGGAAGGGAGTGGTGGGGAGACCTGAATTGGGAGACGAGGAAGTTTGACTGCGCTGCTGTGAGTCGAGATGGCTGTGCTGGCAGCGGCAGCAGCAACAATCTCGCCTCTCCATCCCTCCCTTCAACACCCCCTCCCTCCCCCTCTTCTCCCCCATCTCCCTTATTTCCCACCCTCGCAGCACCCCACGCCCGTGCCCCACAGCAGCTGCGCCCCTCCCCCTCCCCCTCTCCCTCTGCAGCCTCCGCCCCTCTCTCCACGTCATCGCACGGTGCATCCGCCCCGTCGCCACACCAGCGGCACCCCCTGTCCCCGCACCACCTGCACCCCACGTGCCCACACCACCGGCAGCCTGGCAGGCAGGGCGCGAGCAGGGCCCAGGGCCCATGGGGGTGCGCAGCGCTGGGAGCAAGTGGAAGGGGTTGAGAGTGCAGACCAGACTCCCCCCTGCCCCCCTCGCCACCCCCCTTTCCCCCTGGGAGGGGGCAGGGGCACCACCACGCAGGATGGGGAGGACTGGCGCACAGCCCGTGGTGCAGAGGGGTGGGGTGAGGCGAGGAGAGGAGTGAGGAGGCCGGGGAGGACAGCAGACTCGCCTGCTGCTGCCCTGCGGGCGTGTGACAGGCGGAGCGCGTCGGACGCAGAGGGTGAGGGCGAGGGCGAGGGAGAGGGTGGGGCGGCATGTGGGAGGGAGGACTCGGGTGGAGTGGACCATCTGGAGGAGGTGAGAGATGAATGGGACGAGTGCGATGGTTGGAATGGATGGGATGCATGGGAGGAGGGGGCTGCAGCAAGGGAAGCGTCATCCCTGCTCGTCTCATCCTTCACCCCATCCAGCAATGCACTCTCACCCCCTTTGACGCCCACCCCATCCACTGCCCCATCGCACTCCTCCTCTGCTTCACTAACCCCATCCTCTGTGTCGCCCTTCACTTCAACCTCCCCTGCCCCCTGTGGTGTTGCTGCTGCCGTTGCTGCTGCCATTGCTGGTGCCACTTGTGCTGCCACTGCAACTGCAGCTGAAATCGAGTTGGCGGGTGAAGCTGCTCGTCCCGCCTGTGGCGGTGCAGGCGCTGCCTCTGCTTGCGGAAGAGACACAGTAGGAGCGGGGGACGCTGGTGAAGGCGGTGGCACGGCGTGTGTGGCGGCATGGCGTGCATTGGCTGCTGTCACGGCTGCCTGCAGGCTGTCAGCCACATCCTGCACGTACCTGCCGGCCAGTATGCATGCACACCACTTGCATGGCATTCATACAGTAACGTGCCATTCACACATTGGCATGGCATTCACATGCCACTCGCATATCATTCACATGCCATGCACAATTCTCTCAGATGAATCCACATGCCATTCATACGCCATTCATATGCCATGCACGTGCAATGGGGCAGGAAAGAAAAACGGAGGAACAGGAGAGAACGCACATGCAATGGGGTCATGCACGGGGCTTGGATCATGCACGAAGAGCAGAGAAGACCGGAGCACTGGAGAACAGAACGGAGCAGAGCAGGGGAGAGCGCACGCACCCAGGCGAGGAGCCGGACGTGTAGAGGTACTGCAGCAGCGTGGCGAGGAAGAGCACCCCGTAGCACACCGCTTCCGCCCTGTGCAGTGCGGGGCAAGACGGGGGATGGCGGGAGGGTGTGGGAAGAGGGAAGGTTAATGGGGTGAGGATGATGAGATGATGCGCGTTGCATTCCAGACAGTGGCACGCCTGCATGGTGAGCGACCACTCTCTGGTTACCACATACCGCACATGAAAGCCACCACGTGCCAGCTGCAGTGGTTACCTTCCAGCTGCAGTGGTTACCTTCCAGCTGCAGTGGTTACCTTCCAGCTGCAGTGGTTACCTTCCAGCTGCAGTGGTTACCTTCCAGCTGCAGTGGTTACCTTCCAGCTGCAGTGGTTACCTTCCAGCTGCAGTGGTTACCTTCCAGCTGCAGTGGTTACCTTCCAGCTGCAGTGGTTACCTTCCAGCTGCAGTGGTTCCCTTCCAGCTGCAGTGGTTACCTTCCAGCTGCAGTGGTTACCTTCCAGCTGCAGTGGTTACCTTCCAGCTGCAGTGGTTACCTTCCAGCTGCAGTGGTTACCTACCCGCTGCAGTGGTTATCCTGTAATCTGCTGTGTTGACCACGCACACACCAGATGCTGTGGATACGACACACCACATTTCACACCTGATGGTTACCACGCACGCACCCCACAGGCTGCTGCACAAGGGCCTGCGCGAGCGACGTGTTGAGCAGCAGCAGCGACGCCGGCACCACCACGTGCAGCACCGCCCACCCCACGCGCGCACTCGCCGCCGTCTGCTGCGCTGCTCGCGCACGCCGCGAGGGGCAAGACAGGCAGGGTGGAGCGCAGCGCGGGGGAGAGAAGCAGGGAGGGGGGAACGCAACGGGGGTGGGGGAAAGTAGGGAGAGGGGAGCGCAGCGGTGGGGAAGAAGGTAGGGGAGCGGGAGAAGTGAGAGGTCGGTTGACGGAGAGGAGGTGGGCCGTGGCGGCAAGGCAGCGGCCACGCGCCGCTTCCACGCGCGTGGAGGCAGCCGCGTCGGCAGCAATGAGTCAATAACGAGCGATCCGGGGCGATCTTAGCAGCAGGACGAAGCAGGTTGGTGGGACGCAACGATGTGATTTGCAATCCAGTGTTGGCGTGGATCGGATACGCATTTCCTACACGCCCATTCCCACGCGCACCTTCCTTCACCCTGGCTCGCAGCACGTCGTCTCGAATCTCGGGAGTGGGCAGGTCGCTCGACGACCCTCGCTCGTTCGGACTCGGCACCCACGGCAGCACCAGGTTCGGCAGCCGCGCCATGCGAGCCAGCACCGCGCTAAGGTTAGCCTGATAAGGCCGCGGAATGTCTATGCGGACAGTGGCGGGAACATGGACGACGCGTGCGCGATCGTGCTACTAGTGTTTGCCGCTGTCTTAATTAGTAGAGGCGAGGCACTAAGGAAGACGGGACTCGAGCTTTGTAGTCTCCACAAATTTTCGTTACCTCAGTGCACAGGCGCGGCAAAACGAAACAGGACCCCGATCTTGACGAGGATACTTGGTACATTCTGTTATTTTATAGAATGTGATCATATATATAGAAAACTTTGGTTGTTCACTGTTGTTATGGGTGTAAATGAGTGAGTGAACGAAGATTGCACTATTGAAGCAAAAACAGTAGATTGAGCGAAAGAATGAGCGAATGCTAGATAGCGAACTAGCGTGGTCGTGGTAACGAACGAATTGTGGGATGCGTGACGGAACTGGCTCCGAGGTTGGGTTTATATAGTATTATACAATGATGGGGCTAGGGGGTACTGTTACGAATAGTAGATTAAGAAAGTCACAGTGCACTCCCGACAACAGCAAGCGAAGCACGCAGTACCAAGGCTGAAGACGAAAAGGCGGAATGACGCGAAGAGCCCCCCACGCCCTTGCTGGCTTGGTATTAGGCCTAGACAAGCGCAGCCACGTGACCCGGCGGAAGAAAAGCGCTCGAAACGAGCGCTTCCACCCCCAAAATGCGGAAGGATCCGCACATGTGCAGGAAGTGCAGCGGACGCTCTTCATTCGCGTGCGCCGATGACTGATGATGCTCGCAACCCTCCCACACCCTTGCTGGCTTGGTAATAGGCCCAGACCAGTGCAGCCACGTGACCCGACGGAAGAAAAACGCTTGTAACGAGCGCTTCCACCCACAAAATGTCAGAATATTATGCTCTAGCCTGTAGTGGGGTGCTCTATAGCGAGTACAACCCTTCTAGGGTTTGCTATTTGTATCCTCATTCTTGCTAGTGCAACCTCCTCTTTTGCCTAAACTTCTCTTGCCTAGCTAGGACTTACCTAGCTATGGCGCCTTCTTCTACTGCTTATCTCCACATGGTATTAGAGCGATATGCTCCTGGCCTGTGGGCCCCACCTCACTGCTTCCGCTGCTACTGCTACTCCCTGTCCGCCGCGCGCCCCGTGGTGCGCGGCGTCGAAATTAGGGTTTTTCAGCCCGCCGTGCGCCCCGAGGCGCGCGGCGGTTTTCTGCCCGCCGTGCGCCCCGAGGCGCGCGACGGGTTTCTGCCCCGTCACTCGGCGCGTCGCCCCCAGGAGGCGCTACGACGGGCGACGGGGACCCGCGCGTCGCCCCCCGTCGCCCGTCGTGGCCTGCGCGCGGCCCGTACAGCCGGCGCGCGGCCCGTACGGGCTGTGCCAGGCCCGCGCGCGGCCCGTACGGGCTGCGCCAGGCCCGCGCGCGGCCCGTACGGACTGCGCCAGGCCCGCGCGCGGCTCGGGCCGCCTGCGCGCGGTTCGGGAGGCTGTGCCAGGCCCGTGGGCGGCCCTTTCCTCGCTGCCCCTGCCCTCCCCGCTGTCCCCCGTGCTTCTACTGGCGCCCCACCCCTCCTACAGCCCGTTCTCCTGAATTAGGGTTTGGGGGTGAGGGGTATGGGGGTGAAGCTACTGTGTGCCGTTCCCTGCTCCTCCTCCTCCTCCGTCTCCCTGTGCTGCAGCTGCCGCTGAGGGGGGGTGGACTTGTTGGAGCCGTTGGAGTGGTACTAAGGGGGGGTGAAGGGGGAGTGGAGCTAGCGGTGTAGCAGCGGGTGTGTGTCAGGGGGAGTGGGATAGTTTGGGGAGGTTGAAGGGGGTGGCCGCCGTGAAGCCAGCAGCTCCAGTCGCCCGTGAGACCGTTGCGCCAGTCGCCCGTGAGCCCGTTGCGCCAGTCGCCCGTGAGCCCGTTGCTCCAGTCGCCCGTGAGTCCGTTGCTCGTCTGCCGCTACTTTTAGCCGCGGAGCCAGTTACTCCAGTAGCCCGTGTGCCAGTTGCTCCAGTTGCCAGTGTGCCAGTTGCTCCAGTTGCCCGTGTGCCAGTTGCTCCAGTTGCGCCGTGTGCCAGCAGCTTCAGCTGCCGCCCACTACCTCCTCTCCTCTCATAGTCTCTTTCCTCCTCCTCACTTGCCCGTTGTGACTACCACTAGCTTTGCTCATAATTGTGAACTTTAAACTATTGCTTCTTGAACTTGTGCTCAGAATGTGTGGTGACATTGTGATCCACCCTGAGCTTGTACTGCTTTGCTTGCTCTGCTGATTACACCCCACTTTGGCTATGGGGGTGTGTCAGAATATTATGCTCTAGCCTGTAGTGGGGTGCTCTATAGCGAGTACAACCCTTCTAGGGTTTGCTATTTGTATCCTCATTCTTGCTAGTGCAACCTCCTCTTTTGCCTAAACTTCTCTTGCCTAGCTAGGACTTACCTAGCTATGGCGCCTTCTTCTACTGCTTATCTCCACACAAAACACGGAAGGATCCGCACATGTGCACGAAGTGCAGCGGGCGCTATTTATCCGCGAGCGCTGATGACCGATGGTGCTCGCAACCCTCCCACGCCCTTGCTGGCCTCGTAATAAGCCCAGACAAGCGCAGCCACGCGACCCGGCGGAAGAAAAACGCTCGGAACGAACGCTTCCAGCCCTAGAACGCGGAAGGGTTCGCACATGTGCAGGAAGTGCAGCGGGCGCTCTTCATTCGCGAGCGCTGATGACCGATGATGCTTGCAACCCTCCCACGCCCTTGCTGGCTTTGTAATAGGCCCAGACAAGCGCAACCATATGACCCGGCGGAAGAAAAACGCTCGGAACGAGCACTTCCACCCCCAAATCCCGGAAGGATCCGCACAGGAAGTGCAGCGGGCGCTTTTCATTTGCGAGCGCCGATGACCGATGACGCTCGCAACCCCCTCACGCCCTTGCTAGCTTGGTAATAGGCCTAGACAAGCGCAGCCACGTGACCCGGCAGATGAAAAAGGCTCGAAACGAGCGCTTCCACCCCCAAAACGTAGAAGGATCCGCACATGTGCAGGAAGTGCAGCGGATGTGAAAGAACAAGGAATGAATGAACTAGAAATGAGATGGATACAAATATGAAACCCTAGAGAGTTGCACCCCTTAGTGTCTTGAGAAGAAACGAGGAATGGAATGACTAAAGGAAAGTTGGGTACAAATGCAAACCCTAGGAAAACTGTACCCCATATGTGCTACCCCACTATAGCCTACAGTAGCTATGTCATATAAATCTGACACACCCCCATAGGCAAAGTGGGGGAGAACAAGGGGTCACAAGACCAGTCAAGCAAAGCAAAACAAGCTCAGGGTGGATCACAAAGTCACCACACATTCCGAGCACAAGTTCAAGGCCACAAGGCCAGTTCACATGCAGGATTACATATATATATAAGGCTAGACAAGCAAGAGCAGGTGTATATATATATGCAACAGTACAAACAAGGTCAAGGGGTGAGCAAGTGAGGCAAGGTAGGCACAAGACCCAGCTGAGTACAGAAGCGCTGATGATCACAAGGTGCAAGTGCCTTGGTGAAGATATCAGCAGTGTTGGCCTCAGAGGCCACGTACGCAAGCCGCAGCTGACCACGCTGCTGTAGCTCACGAGCAAGGAAGTAGCGGAGAGCAATGTGCTTCGTTCTGTGCTCCAGTCTCTGCTCTCGACACAAGGCCAGCATGGCCTTGTTGTCTACGTACAGTACTGGAGGAGAACGAGGCGGCTCTCCGAGGTCAGTCAGCAGGTAGGTGAGCCAGCGAAGCTCCTGTGCAGCCATGGCCCCGGCGTAGATCTCAGCCTCACAACTGGAGCCGAGAACAGAAGACGAGCGGGTAGCCCGCCACGAAACAGAGCCGGAACCAAGGCTGAAGGTGTAACCCTATGACGACCGCTGCGTAGCCTGGTCGTCAGCCCAAGAAGCGTCTGCGTGCCCAGTGAGGACCACTGGACTCTGCCCTCCAAGCACAAGCCCCATGCCCGACGTACTGCACAAGTAGCGCAACACCCTCTTCGCTGCAGCCATGTGCTCCGGTCTGTGTCTCCCAGGAGCAACATAGCGTGCAAGAATGCTAAGAGGGTATGCAAGGTCAGGTCGTGTGCAGGTCATCAGGTACATGAGGCAGCCAACAAGCTCTGGGTACGGGCCACTCGACTCTACGGACTCATCCGAAGGCAGAGCTGAGAGCGAGTGGCGAGTAGGCAGAGGAGTGGCCTGAGGCGAGGAGTACGTGAAGCCGAAGCGCTGAAGGACCTGCTGCACCATGTGTGACTGAGTCAGGGTAATGGTGCGCCGTGCTCTGTCCCGGGTGATCTGCAAGCCAAGGTAGCTGCGCAGTTCACCCAGGTCTGTGCACGTGTGTCTCTTCTGCAGCTCGGACTTCACGTGGGCGAGTCCAGCAGTGTCAGCTGTGGCAAAGACCAAGTCGTCGACGTACACGAGGATGTAGAACGGCGGCAAAGAAGTGTCGGTGCGCAGAAACAGCGACGGGTCGGCAGTAGAGGGAGCAAACCCAAGAGCCGCAAGTGTAGTCCTCAGTGTGTCGTGCCACTCACGCGGTGCCTGGCGGAGACCGTAGACTGGCCGCCGGAGGCTCCACTGGGTGCCAGGAGGAAAAGACCCAGTGAAGCCAGGTGGGCGACGCAGCCAGATCTCCTCGTGCAGGCTGCCCTGCAAGAAAGCAGTGCTGAAGTCAAGAGAGTGCAGCTCGTAGTCGCGGTGAGCAGCTATGTGCAGCAGTACCCGAAGAGTGGTCATCTTCGGGGTGGGAGAGAAGGTCTGAAAGTAGTCAACTCCCTGCCGCTGACTGAAGCCACGAGCCACGTAACGCGCCTTGAAGACAGGCGGAGAACCCGGCGGCCGCTTCACCCTGAAAATCCACATGCCACTGACGATGTTCGCCCCAGGCGGGGGAACCTCGTCAACGTAGGTGCCTGTGGACTTCCAGGAAGCCATCTCTGTGTCCATAGCTGCCTGCCACTGAGAGGAGTAGGGACCCTCT